ATCATTTGCTCCAGTTCATGATTACTAGTCAGATCAATCAAAGCCTCTTCGTCTTGTATAGACAGTGCGTCACTTTCTGCTGGCTTGAACTTGAATGGATTGCGAATCCACTCATCCTGGATTGTCTCGTTGGAAAAATAGTGTGTGAATTGCTGACACAGACCCCTTAGGTGTTCAGCGACCAAAGGCTGAATAGGAACCACTGTCGGCCCTGCCTCTTGCATGAAGTCAGCCAGCATAGGAAACATGTCCACGCATCCTTTCTCCACACGAGTGGCCCATAGATCCAGCTTTCTCCGGAACGAGGACACTTGCTCAAATGCCGAAAACACATCGCAGTCTCTGCCCTGCAATGATGTATTAAGCGTGTCGAGGCGTTCAAATATGTCCGACAAATAAGCTAACCTTGCGATCCAGCTCGAATCACTCATGTGCTGCGCCAGTGGGGATTGAACATTTGACAGAAAAAGTAGTACTTCCTCACGCAAATCAAAAAGTCGTGATAGAACTCTGCCCCGAGACAGCCAGCGGACTTCGGTGTGCAGAAGCAGCTGTTTGTAATGCGCTCCCAATTCATCGCATAAAATGTGGAAAAGACGAGCATTTAGAGGTCGTGCTTTTATCAGGTTGACAATTTTCACAGCTTCGTCGTGGACACTCCGAAGCTCATTTGGCATCTTCTTGGCAGCTAAGGCTTGTCTATAGATTGTGCAACGGCTCTCGGAGCTACCTCTTTAACCCTCGATATGAGACCACTGTGGCGGCCCGTCATTGATTTTGCCCCATCACTGCATATGCCACAGCAGCGTTTCCAGTCTAAATCGTTCTTTCTCACAAATTCGTTCAATTTGTTGAAAATGTGTTCACCTGTTGTGTGGGTGGGCAAAGGACTACTAAATAGAAACTCTTCTTGAATGTCCATGTTTTTCACGTACCGCACATATGTTAACAGCTGAGTGCAGCTGGCCATATCAGTGGATTAGTCAATCTGGAGTGCAAAATATGGGCTGTGTCTGACGCTGTCTAACACTTGCTCCTTCACATCCTGTGCCATGTCTGAGATGCGCCAACTTATTGTATTGTCAGAGAGTGGAACAGAATCGATCTTAGAAGCTGCTGCCTCTCTTAGCATCACGGAACACAGTTCTTTTGCTGCCAGCAGAATTAATGTCTCTCCAGTGGTCTGTGCTTTGCCTGCCTTGACAATACGCAATGCAACGCGATATGAAGCTTCAGTGGCCTTTCTATTTAATTTGACAAAATCTTCCACAATTTTTTTTCTGACCTTGAAAGTTTTGAAGTTTTCTCTGAAAAAATTCTGGAGGTTTTCCTGCTACCTCAACATGCTTGGTTTCAAGGTGTCGCTGAAGTTTTGCGGGTCTCGTGCTGTCATTAGCCAAAATATCTTGACAAACCACACATAAAGGTCGTGGATCATCAGCTGGTCCTGTCCACGTAAATCCTAAACTCAAATACTCATCATCATATCGTCGTCTTTTGGGTTTAAGCCCTGAAGTTGAAGGCTTTGAATCGGGGGGTCTCAGAAACCACTCCATTGTATTAATAGGCATATACATATTGGCGGGCTTGTCAAACAGCAGCGAATTCACAGCAACGGCCTTCTGGGTGAAAAATGTTTCTCATATTTTTGACTTATTATTTTTTAGTATCGTTTAAATAAAAACA